AACCTCACATATGTAACAACTGTATCTTTTAAAGTTGCTCAGATCAAACACCTTATATCTTCACTATATGTATTTGTTTCATTCTCATCTCAGAAAATTCTAGTTTAGTCTAGAATTGGACTAGGTCTTACTACCTTCACAAAGCACAACTGTCTCTCACCAGAAGATTGCAGAGATTTTCTAATTTCAGCTCTACCCTTGCCTTGCCTCCCAGAGTTGAGTCTCAATATAGCAGTCTGAATAACCCTTTATGTGCGTGGCTCAACTCTTCAGACACCTCCCATGGCGGTGAGAGTAAAGGCAGTGTCCTAAGATGGATGAGAAGATCCTCTGCAATCAGTTCCACACCATCCCCTGACTCTCACCTTCACTTACTGCGCTGCAGCAACCTGGCTTCATTTGCTGTTCCTTAGAGACACTTTGCACTTTTTCCTCCTCCTCACTGGCTGAACACTGCCTGCAGGGTTCTTATCATGGATATCCACTGGCTCTCGTAAGCCTTGAAGTTTTTGTATAAGTGTCATCCTCTTATGGATTCCTATCTATACCAGGCAGCAAAATTCACGCCTGGTTCATACAGAGTGCTTAATATTTGTTAAATCATTTGCAAATAAATGAACTTGGTAGTTAAAATGAAATATTGCCTGAAGCCAGTAAAGCCATGCCCTATAGGATTTGTTTATTTACCATTCATTCATTCGAGGGTTTTTCAGACAAGAGTTTCTCCACCTAAATCCAGGCTGTCTGGAATCTATGTAGCCCATACAGGCCTTACACTAGCAATCCTGCCTCAGCCTCCTGAGTGCTGGGATGATAAGTATGTACCACCTCAGCTGGCCACAGGTTTTAGTTTTTAAAAATAGAACTAAAATGCAAGAAAATGAACCCCAGAGACCTAAAATGCATGATAAGAGCAGTATATGAGATGGAGGTAATGGGAGTTAAATGCTGAGTGAAATAGGAATATACTATAGAAGAAGTAAAAACAGTAATTTTAAACAAATATGTTAAAACCAAATGGAGGGCTGGGGATTTAGCTCAGCGGCAAAAGTGCCAGCTTAGCAAACGCGAGATCGTGAGTTCAATCCCTGGTATCCAAAAAAACCAAAAAACAAACAAACAACCCTGAATGGAAAAGTTTCTTGACAGCCAGGACACAAAGGAGTGCACATCATGTGAACGCATCACACAAAATCCTCAAACAAGAGAATGTATCTAAGGCAACAGAGGCCTGGATAGTGGTAGCTCAGGGCTCGGTGGGTACTGATTAGAAAGGGGCACGAGAGGGGCTCTGGAGCATGTGTGGCTCATGGCACTGGGTTCATGTGACATAAATCCAGTGTCTGCAGACTTAAGAGCTATGTTTTCCAGGGGATGGATGGGGATACACACACACGCGCGCACACACACACACACACACACACACACACGTATATGTGTGTGTATATGTATAATTTTTTTGACACAGAGTCTCACGATGTAGCCCAAAAGGATTGAACTCATGGCAATCCTCCTGCCTCAGTGTTCTGAGGGCTGGGATTACAGGTATGCACACCCATACATGGCTATGTCTCATACTTCAGTGGGTAAGCACTTAACTAATAGTGAATGCCTTCAAATCAAGAAATGAAAGGGAATAAAATAATGAAGAAGGAAACCTCAAACAATCCAAAAGAATGCAATAAAGTAGAGAAAACACAGAAAAAAGTACACATATAGAAATTATAAGATAAAAAGTTTGAAAATCTATGTGAGGCTGGTATTGCACAACTCTAATCCTGTATGAGAGGCTAATCTCAGAGGCTGAGGCACGAGGAGGTCAAGGCCAGTCTTAGTGAGATTCCATCCCAAACTAAAGTTGAAAAAGGGCTGTAAGTACAGCTCAGTGGTAAGGGACTCACTCACCATATGTGAGGCCCTGCATTTAACCCCTACTGTTAAGAAAAAAGTCTATCAAGACTTACAGTTAAAAGATAAAATGTTTAAATTGGACCTTTAAAAATTCAGTTACAATCTGTTTATAATGGATACATGTAAAGAAAATATTAAAAGATTAAAAGTAAAACAGAATACAAGTAAGTGGCCATTTGTGGACTGGAGGAGAGAGAACAATGACCACACAAGCAAACAAGCCCAGTCTAGGAAACCAGGGCCATGCATGGGCCACCGCTGGACCAGGGACAGCTAGACCCAAGTCCCTTCTAGTGTGCAGGATGGCAAACAAGAAGTACCAACCTCCACCCCCACCCCACAAGCTACTGGCTTATCTAGAGAAACACAGGCTGTGATGACAGCTATGGAGGTGAAATGCAATGGATGCCTGTGGTGCTTTGGTGTTTCACTAACACTGCAGGTCTAGGGCCAGTGGTCTGATCATCGGGTCAGAGGGTAGTGGTACACAGTGTGACATCTTGGGGCGGGGCGGGGGGCGGTCGGGGATCTTCTTCTGAGAGATGTAGCCATTGTTGACTCCCTTAGGTCTTGTTTTGAGGACTATATCATTTCCATTGTTTTGTTGGGTAGAGTTTAATTCTCTTTTGTTTTGTTTGATTATGTCTAATCCGATGGTAGGAGCAGCTATTTCACAGATAGCAAGATATATTATGGTAGCAATTTTGGATTTATCAAAGGCCGTCTAAAGTCCTTTATTGCATTTATTGTTTTGTTTTTATTGTTTGTATTTTATTCTGTTCTGTTTGATTTTTACTATGTCCAAAGTTATCTGCAGCTATTTCGAAGACATCAAAAGGCATTATGGTTAACTATTGTTGATTTCATAATGCTTTGAAGTCCTGTATCTCTTTCACTGGTTTCTATTGGTTTTACTCTTTTTTATCCTCTTTAAAATAAATAAATTTAAAAAGAGAATGCAAGTAAGCTCTATTAAGTAACAACAGCCAAAATGTACTTTAAGGCTCAAGCCATTATTAGAGATGGAAGGGTACAAATTATACTGAATAATTTCACCTAATAACATAACCTCACTGATAAACACAGGAGAAATAATAATTTTCTCAATAAATAATAAAATAAGCTGACAAAAAGTTGAGAAGCATATCAGAGATATCCAGAACAGCATTAAAAGGCTTTCATCTAACAAGCATGGATACAGAATATTATATTTGACAATTGTAAATTATGCATTTTTTCCAAGAACACAATGACTACTTATTAATACTGATACATGGGGCTGGGGATTTAGCTCAGCGGCATAAGCGCCTGCCTTGCAAGCAGGCAGTCGTGAGTTCGATCCCTGGTACCGATAAAAACGAAAAAGACAAAAAAAAAAAAAAATACTGATACATGTCAGCCTCCAAGACAGGGCTCAACAACTGGTATCATATAAAGTACATTCTCTATAATCAGAATGCAAATATGTCAAGAATCAACAAAGCAGAAAAATATTTATGTGTACTTATTCAAAACCACACTTCTGCTGGGCGTGGTGGCATACACGTTCAGGAAACTGAGGCAGGAGGATCACCATGAGTTTGAGGCCAGCCTGAGGTACACAGTGAGTTCAAGGCCAGTCTGAATCGCATTGTGAGATTCTGTCTCAGAAACACTAGAATATTTTAAAATATATTTTAAAAAATTAAAAAGCTAAGCTTCAAATAAAGAAGGAAATAAAAAATGAAGGCACAGAAACTTTGAAATAGAACATGTAAGAGAGACTTGGGAAATGTTATTTCAACTTCTGCAGAGTGAATCCATAGGAAAATAACAACATGAGCAACAATGTAACCACACATTTGAGAATTTACCTCAAACAGACAATTTTATAAGGTGAAACAGACAACAGACAATTCATAACAGTAATTAAACTGGGCATAATGGTGCACACCTATAATACCAGTTACTAGGGAGCCAGAGGCAAGAGGATCCCATGCTCAAGCCAATCCAGGGCAATTTAGAGAACATCTTTTTCACAATAGAAAATAAAAAAGGGCTGAGGTTGTAGCTCAGTGCAACGCCCTAGGTTGACTCTCTAATATTGAAAAGAAAAAAAAGTCTAGATCATATTTATCTACATCTTTAGAATATTTCATAATATAAACTTTAAGATGTGTTTAAAATTGAGACTACATCATAGTTTAAAAAAATCTTACCATTTATAGGCACAAAGCCTTTGTTTTTTATCTTCAAAACTCAGGTGACTGAGCAGAAAAATTGTGGGTTTTTTTTAACCCACCACAAAGACAGGAAACCCCACCTGGCAGCCGTAGGTGCCTCAGAGGCTGCTGGTGCTGGCAGCTCAGGAGCAGGCCAAGAGGAAGCTGCAGAAACCCCAGATAGAACACGAAGCAGCACTCTTTTCTGCCCAGCTCCCATCTCACAGTGTGTCAGCCTCCAGACTGTTTCTCCTCCTAGTCAGCTATCTAAATGGATGTGCATTTCCCTGCCTTTAGTATAAATTATGGGACTGGACATGTATGTCTCAGGGTCTGACCTGGATGGCTTGTTTTTATTTTTTAAATTTTCTGTGGTGCCAGGAGTTGAACCCAGGACCTCCTATGTGCTAGGCTGGCACCCACTGAGCTATATCCCTGATCTAGCAGATGGTTTATATGTTCTTTATTTTTCCCTGTTGGTATTAGGCATTGAACCCAGGGCTTTGACACTGACTGAGCTACAGCCCAAGTCTTCTTTTTATTTTTTAAATTTGAGGCAGTGTCTTGCTAAGTTGCACACACTGGGTTTGAACTCATTATCTTCCCACCTCAATCTCCCAGAGTGCTGGGATGACAGGCCTGTGCCACCATGTCTAGCCTGTATGTTCTTTTTACTCGTCACGATACAACCAAATTCCCTAACTGCTGCTTACAGTTTAATAGATCAGTAAGAGGAGCTTGACCATGGATCATTCGTGCTAAGGGGGGCCTCCCTTCATCCATGTTTCATAGGGAGGTCCTTGGCAAGAAGTCATCTACAGCTGCCACACTGAGAGCAAGCAGGCTCTGCTCAAGCCCAGCCCACTGCCATCTGTATGAAGCACTTACCTTCTGGATAACACTTCGTACAGCAAAATACTTCTCAGTGAGGTCCCCTGCCTCGCTCAGTGGGGCATCATAGTCATAGCTGGTAGGCTGTGCTGCATAGGGTGTGTTGGCTCCTAAAAGACAAAAATGTGCCACTACTTACTACAAAGCCCTCCCCTGGGATAAGTTCTTTAGGACTCATGGGCTCAGAATGGTGGGGAGGAGAAATAAGGAAAATCAGAATTAATTGTTAAAATGCCTGGCATGGTGGTACACATCTGTAGGCCCCGCACTTGGAAGATAGGAGAATTACTAAGTATGAGACCATTGTGGGCTACATAGTGCATTCAAGGCCACCCTGAACTGCACAGTGAGACCCTGCCCTCCCCAAATAGAGTTAATTGTAAAGAGACACTGAGGTGTTCCTCAGGATGCAAATTCAGAGGAACAAGTTTCTTCCCACAGGTGGCACTTGCCAAGCACCCTGGAATTTACAGGGCACTCTTCCAGCATACTTTCTTTCTCTGTTGAAGCTCATAGCTGTGATCCTAACATACTTCCCTTCTAGGGGCAAGAAGGCAACCTGAAGCTGACACAAAAATCTGCTCCTGTATCACAAGCAGCAATCGTAGGGCTTATGATACAACCCACACTGCTGTTAGCCTTGCAGTCTCTGATCCTTCTCATGGCCTCCTACTGTACAGCTGAGAAAAGGTTTGGTGGAGACACATGACCAGGTTGGGGATCAGCATAAAACAGATGAAACAACACAAGAGATGACTACAGACACACGGGAGCCCCACAGATTCAGACACAAGTGTTCGGCCTCTGTAACATCTGCAGGGTGTACAGGGGGCCATTGTGGACCCCTTGGATCCACATCCAGGACAAATCACTCACTACCCTGGATACCAGTTATTCCCCTCTGGCATTGGCCTCTGCGCAGCTGCCCCACACAAGGTTATCGTCTGTCTGATAGCTGAGCAGTGCAGACAGAAACACCAGCTGCCTGTGCTCACAGGGCCAGCCCCTTCCTCCAACTCTGCTTACCCTAGCATGTGCTGAGGCCTGTGTGAAATTGCATGCAAGCCTGACGTGACTGCCTGATCCCCCCACACCCCTGAGATCCGCTGTGAGTGGTGCTCCTGGGAGTACTTCCAGGGAACTTCCTGTTGGTTCATCCCAACAGAGTCTGTTTCCCTGGGAACTGGACCTGTAACAAAGACTAACGCATAAAAATGCATACAGAGGCCCAGAAAAGCCAGTGTCCTGTAATTGTTGTCAAGGGGTAAGGTCCACACCAGAGGCTCCTGATCATGTGACAGACAGTGTTCACAGGGATGAAGTGGTCTGCAGCACCGGACAGTACAGTTCTCTGAAAACTCACTCACTCATAGGAGTCACATGTGAAACCTGCTAAAACTTCACATCTGAGCCCCATGGCAGACTCTGCCTCAGGAGATCCGGGTGTGATCTGAGACTGCATTTCCAGCAGACTGCCAGGTGAAGATGCTGCCGCCATCTTCGGACCAGCAGGATGTGCCCTTTTCCCTTGGCTTTGTATGGCATATTATAACACGAGTGTAGGAAGATAGATTTATGCTAGGAGAATCTTTTACAGGAGGTAAGCACAGGAGACATGAAGTATGACAGTTCACTCATAACAAGTAATAAATTCCTTGGACACAGCTCACAAATGATGGAGGAACCCATGTGATCCTACGGAAGAGCATTTGAATGAGTGAGGCTGGGGCTGGGGCTGGGGCAGTCCCCAATGACTTTTTCATAAATTCTCTGCATAGCACCCCCATGTTTAAAGACCTACACCATCTAACCAACTGAAGTGATCAGAAACAACTCAGTCAACAGGTCTGCCTGCCTCAGGAAGCACAGGTTACAATACATCCCTTCCTGTGAGACACGGAACCAAAACCACATCCCTTGCTGCAGGAGCTCACTCACCGTCTGTGGGGCTCCTCCACCCCTAAGGTGGCAGTGACAGTGCTGCCAAGCTCATTTCTATATCTCACTCTGCACTAAACTGTGTACATCTTAAGGGAAGACTCCATCTTGCTCACCCTTAAGGTAGGGACAGAAAAGCTCAACTCAATCAAGTTGAGCCAGGATACTCCAGAGATAGGGCACCCAGGCTGGGAGGCGGGCCAGTAAATGAAAGGCGGGAATGAAGACTACATCTTTGTTCCAGCTCTTCCAGCACAGTCAATCAATCAATCTCAGTCTCTCTTTTTGAGACACTCTTATCTTTAAAGTGGTGTCAATACTCCCCAAGTATTCCCCAACCTGAGGGAGAAAAGTAAAAAAGAGAAATGAAAAACCAAAAAAAGCCCCAACCTAGTTGGGCAGGGAGGCACATGTCTATAATCCCAGTTATCTGGGAGGCTGAAGCAGGACGATTACAAGTTCAAACTAAGTCTGGGCAATTGAAAAACCTAATTTAATGAGACCTGACTCAAAATTTTAAATGTTATAAAGGGCTGGGAAAGCAGTCAGTGGGAAGGTCATAGGTTCAATCTGAAAACAACAACAACAATGAAACTCTACCCTAGATGAGACTGACATGAGAACTAAGTAAAAAAACAGTGACAGAAGAGAGACTTCTATTGATTACAGAACAGAGGACAGGACAAAGGACAGTTTTCAATTTCTGAGTGACAGTTTTTGTATTGTCTAAGATTTTTTTTCTAAGAAGACTATATTAAGAACAATAACTTTTTTTAAAATTGTGCTGTGTAAAGTTGCAAAAAATAACAGTCTATCTTTCTGGATTGGTCCATGAGTCAATGCAATCACTGGTGGCTAGGTAGAATCCCCATCTGCTCATGGAAAAGATGTCACCAAGACTTAACTGGACCCAGAAGACACACAGAGATGATCTGAAGTATCAGTGACCAACTCTGGCACCCTGCTGTCTCTTAAGCACTGACATCTATATTTTATCTTCATTTCTTGACTCTAACAATAGGAGTAAACTGATAGTGTTTGTAAGCAATGTCTTTCTCTTGCCAATCCATCCTATAAAATAGTATTCAAAGGAGAAGCTGAAATGTTTGTTTTTGTTGCTGTTTATTTTTGTACTGAAGTCTGAACCCAGAGCCTCTGCACTGAGCCACATCCCCAGCCCTTTTCTTTATCTTTCACTTTGAAACAGAGTCTTGTCAAGTTGCTAAATTGGGTTTAAAGTTGTGATTTTACCCTTTGGCCTCTAGGAGAGCTTGGATTACAGGCCTGTACCATCACTCCTGGCTGCAATACATTGTATCCAGTTTTAAGTCCTGAAAGATTTAGTTCCAAACTGTGCCTCTAAAATGTAAAGTCCAGCATCCTCAAGATTCCAACAGAAAAATGCAGATGGGAGAAATGTGTGGAATACACCATAATTGGTCTAACTGTAATACAGAGAAATTTGTCATAATTCTTCCTACCAAAAACAAAACAAAACAAAATAAGTACAGCAATGCAAATGGTGTTGACACTCTGGAAAACATGAAGGCAGTTCCTAAACTCTAAACACAGAGTGATTACATGACCTGGCAATTCTACTTGTAGGTAAACACCCGAAAGAACAGAAGCAGGGATCCAAACAGATTAGTGTTTTCAGCAACAGCAACATCATTCATAACAAGCAAAAAGTAGAAACAACCAAAAGTCTACCAACCAATGAGTAAACAAAATATTCTAAATCCTTACATTAGCATATTATTTACCAATAAAAAATGAAGTACTAATATATGCTACTACATGGATATGTCTTGAAAACATCAGTCTAAATGAAAGCAGATTTTTAAAAACCCTACATTGTCTGGTTTTATTTACATAAAACATCTAGAACAAACAAATCCATAGTGACAGGGAGATTAGTTTCTTTCCATGGGCTGGAAGGAAGAAGAGAGGGGAGTGACTATAAATAGGTTTGGAATTTCTTTCTGAGGCAATGAGAACATTATAGAATTAGTAGTAATGGCTGCAAAACTTTGAGAATATACTTAGTTAAATTCATTTAAAATTGTGGAATGTATGGAATGTGAATTGTATATAAACAAAATGTTAAAAAAAAAAAAAAAGAGAGAGACCACAAAAAATATATGCACAAATACACTAGTCACAGACTAGGAAAGAATCTTTCTCCACTGTTGGTAGGAGTATAGACGGGTGCAACCACTCTAGAAATCAGTGTGGAGATTCCTCAAAAAACTAGGATTAGAAGTCCCATTTGACCCTGTTATTCTCCTTCTGGATATCTTCCCAGAAGGATTAAAAACATCATGCCACAGCAATGTAAGTGTACCCGTGTTTACAGCAGCACAAGCCTGCTTAGCCAGCCTTATTTTAAACCAAAAAGACTGAAGATAGAATAGGTTGAACTCTTGAAGACATCGGTATAGGCAAAGGCTTTATGAATAAAACCCAATCACATAGGAACCGTCACAAAGAATCAACAACTGAGATCTCATCTTATTAAAACAATTTTTGTGGGCAGCGGATTTAGCTCAGCAGCACAAGTGTTTACCTGGCAAGTGCGAGGTGTGTGTTCAATCTCCAGTACAAAACAAAAAAAATTCTCAGCACTCAAGACACTGAGACAGGAAGATTGTTGTAAATTCGAGACCAGTCTGGACAACAAAGTGAGCTCAAGGCCAGCTTGAATTGCATAATGAGACTCTGTCTCAAAAAATAAATAAATAAATAGCTTTCTGTACAGTAAGAGAAACCACCGACAGAGTGAAAAGACGTTCCACAATGTATTGGGGATCGAACTCACAACCTCCTGCTTCCCAGGCAGGTGCTTATGCTGCTGAGCTAAATCTCCAGTCCTCATGGTTTGTTTCTTAAAAAAAAAAAAAAAAAGTAGAATAAAATGATTATATAGGTAATTCTTTAAAAAAAAATAGGTAATTCTTATATATTAGAAAAGTTAGAATGAAAAAATAGAAAACAAAAACTGTCTATAGGTACATTCCTCAAAATGAAGAATACAAAACTGTGTACATTTCTACAGACAGATGTTAAGTTGCTCTTACCGTTCCAATAGGCAAAGTTGGTCCCACCAATAAACATGTACCTACAAGGAAAGGAGAGAACACACAGTACTTAACTGTGAGCCCATTGTCACTGAGGGCACCCTCTCTTCAGGCAATGTGCCCTTACATGTTCACATTTGCCCCCTGGGCGAGCATATCAGAGAGGGACGAAACCACAGCCTCGGTCTTGACTGTCCAATGACGTTCACCCCAGTGGTCTAACCAGCCAGTGTAGAATTCAGAATTGATCTAGAAAGAGAGAAGAATGTAGAACTCAAGACAGACGTTCAAAAGCTGAGGCATCCCTGTAATACTCCATCGACTCCACTGAGGGCCACGGGGACGTAGTGGTTGGCAGCTTCTCCCAGGCTGGGGGCCAATGAAGACATCCAATAAAGCCACTGCCCAAACCCAGTCCTTGAGTGCAAACCCCACGAGACCTCATCTCACACAAGGACAGTCAGCCTCCACAGTCGTGGTGTTAACCTGCTACAGATCAAAAACGTGTGCGAAAAAACTATGCTGAACATGTGCAGCCTTATTTTCTTGTCATTATTCCCTAAATCACAAAGTAAGACAACCATTTACATAGTATTTAGAGTGTAGTAAGCATCATAAGGAAACTGGACATAAACTAATATGTTCCTGCTAGCTTGAACCAGTGGTAGAAGCATGTCTGTCCTATGGGACTGCCCATACCACCCAACTGGAGAGTGTACCACTGGCGGTTCACAGCCCACCTGGCAGCAAGATGTAAGAATTACAGCCCTGTTGTGAATATGTTATCCTGTACACAGGAGGGTGTGTGTAGTTCATGAGCAAATACAACAACCATTTACGTAAGAAAGTTGAATGCTGGATGTGGTGGCGCCTACCTATAATCCCCGCACTTAGGAGGCTGAGGCTGGAGGACTGCTGTAAATTCGAGGTCAGGGTGGGGTACGTAGTGAGTTCAAGAACAGTCTGAACTATGTAGTGAGACCCTGTTGAGAGAGACAGAGAGAGAGAGAGAGAGAGAGAGACAGAGAGAGAGAGACAGAGAGAGACAGAGACAGAGACAGAGACAGGAAAAGAGGAGGAAGAGGAGAGAGGAGGGGAGAGGACAGGAGAGGATAGGAGAGGAAAGAGAAGAGAGAAAAAGGGAGAAGGAGAGGGGTAGGGGGATGGGGAGGAGCAGGGGGGAGGGAAGGAAAGAGGGTCAGAAGGAAGAAGGGCGCGTGGGAGGGGAAGGGACACATTGAGGCTGGAGCATCTGTGGATTTTAGTGTCTGAGAAGGAGTCCTAGACCCAATCGCCATGGATACTGAGGGACAACTATATTTCTAAAAAGCTTTTCTTATATTACGTTTCTTAACCATTTCCCAGCAGAAAAGTTTAGATACGCAAAGCACTGGGTAAAATATTCTTATAAAAGAATTAGTTCTAAACCAGGTATGGTGGCACATGCCTGTAATTCCAGCATCTGGGAGGCCAAAGCAGGAGGATTCTTGCAAGTTTGAGGCCAGCCTGAGGTACATAGTGAGTTTAAGGGCCAGCCTGAACTACACAGTGAGACTCTGGCTCAAAAACAAACAGGCCAGGGATTTAGGTCGGCAACACAAGCACCTGCCTAACAAGCACAAGGTCATGAGTTCAGTTCCTGGTACCCCAAAAAAACAAAAAACAAAACACAAAAAACCCCCAGATTCATCCTTTGTGTGAATACAGACTTTGAGATCTCAAGTTGACTTATAACGAGATAGATTTGTCCAAGTATTTCATAAAGCAAACTTCATGCTTTTGTCTTGATCATTCAAATCTCTGCCAACCCCTTGTTCTAAAGAGGAAAACTAAAACCTGGACACATGAGGTTCCAGGAAATAGCTCCACCCAAAGTTTATGGCTGTAGGTCCTGCACAGCTCACAAAGCATCACAGACTTGGAAAAGGGGCTGCTAGCAGGGCCTGCCAGGGGTGGGGGCCCTCACATGGGGCCGAGTGACCACAATCACCCTGCTGAGCATGGGAAGGGCAGAGAGCAGGAAGGGCTGATAGGCTGTCTAGGGCCACCGGGACCCTGCCGTCACTTCCTCCTAGAAGCCTCCATAGCAAGACATCAAGCCCCCTGACTCCGAGGGAGGACAGCAAAGTGCATCCTCAATGTCACAGACTGACACTGGAAATGCAGCCCCTCCTGCTCTACCCAGACCCAGCAGATTGAGTTCTGCATCTTCATTAGATCCCCAAGTGATCCCTAAACATTTGGAAGTTAGAGAAACCCATCTCTCTGGCACAAACCACTCTCAGAAGACACCAACCTAAGCCAGACTCCAGCCCAGCCATTCCCAGCCACTGCTGGGCTGCATGACCCACCTGGGGAGTGATGTCTGTTCCCTGACCTCATGAAGAGGAGACACAGGTTCAGTTATGGAAGTTGCCCTGGCCATTCATATTATTCCGCATTCTGTGCCTCTGAAGCACAAGGCCTCAGTTCCAGAGCACAAGGCACCCACACATTGTTTATGCTGTCACTCATGAGTCCAAAAGGGCTATGTCCCCACAGCCCCTCAGTTGCTGATTTCAGAGCCAGCAAACTAAGAATCTGTAAGTCTCCCCAACCTTTCTGAGACAGAGTCTTGCTACACAGTCCAAGCTGGCCTTTAATTCACTATGTAGCCCAAGCTGGCCACAAACTCCTAGCAATCCTCCTGTATCAGCCTCCCAAGTTGCCCATTACCTTTTTCAGCATGCCACCTCCCTCCCTGGCACCTGGGGTTGTGGTTGTTAACAAGTCAACAGTCTTTGCACCTCACTCCCAACTCTTACCAAGGGTCCTTTGGGCTCAGCTTTCCTCTGGACCAGGAAAGCGTCTGTGATGTTGCTGCCTGAAAATTACAGGAGTGAAAAGAAAGGTCAGTCATAGGAATGCCAAGGTGTAATGAGCTCTCATGGGCCATGGCCTGCCACCCTGCCATGGTCTGAATGCAGTGTCTCTCCAGAGTTTGTCAGTTGGAATCTATTCCCCAGTGTAATTGGAGGGATTTATGGGGACTTAGGGAAGTCACTCAGTCATGAGAACTCTGCCACCAAGAATGGGATTTGATGTCCTTACAAAACATGCTCCAGTGATATCCATCCCCTCTGCCACAGCAAGAAAGTACATTTCTGAAGCAGGGAACAGACCCTCCTTGGACTTGGACTGCCCAGCCTCTGGCACTGTAAGCAGTGACCCCACCAGTATTTTGTGGCAACAGCCCAAACTGACTGAGGCAGGTCCCCTGCCCCTTCCCACACACCCATGGGACTGGGACACCCCTGAAGTGGGACATCCGCCTGAGGGATGTATAGGGACCACAGAATACCACTTCCTCTCTGAGTAGGTCTCCCCTGGCTGTACCTCTCAGGCATTCACCTTGTAGTCCTGGCTTCTCCAGCTGTGTTCCCCAGGGCCTCAGGCATGCAACTGCGTACTCATCTGTCTACGCATTTCTCCCTGGGCAGCTGGCTGATCTACATGCTCCCTACAGGATGGGGCTGCTCAGAAGATGCATCCCCGCAGCCTCCATGCAGCATACAAAATAGTGCACAAATATTTGCCAGCTAATAGACAATCAAGAGAGTGGCCTCACTGTGTTTATCCTTGAACAACGGAGCATACCCCAAATTGTCACTTGTACCCTGTAATGGCTGATACATTGTGTCAACTTGAGGAGCTCAGAAATTTAACTAAGCCACTCAGCAGGGAGCCAGAGTCCGTACTTTGTAAACATCCTCAGCCTCTGCACAGAGGGCACAGGGTGGTGTGAGTGCTACACCAGCCCAGGGTGGAGGTAGCCTGCTTACAACATAAGGGAGGAGAAGAGGCTTGTTCTCCTGCCCCTTCTGCCTTTTTCGTTTTTGGTATGGTACCCAGCCATCGTGAACAGCTGCCCCTCAGTCACACCTCCCTGCCTTGGAGCCAGCTGAGTATGGACTGAAGCCTCCACAAACAGTGAACTAAATAAACTTTTCCTTCCTTCATTTTGGGTATGAGGTATTTTATCTCAGCAGTGACAGAAAAGTAACCAACACATATACCATCGGTCACTTCAGACCACCTACTCCCAACATTTTGAAACACCCCATTAGGATGATGTATGTTATCTTGCCTCCCAGATTTCTGTGTTCTTTCCTCTTCTAAAAAGAAAAAGAATTTCCCCAAGGAGAGGTGATGGGCAGCCTTATGTCAGTGAAAGAGCAAAGGGTGAGTATCTACATACTCAGAGCTGGGAGACCTTCCCACGGCAGGCAGGCTGGGTGGAAGTGACGCCCCCCATACGAACCCCCATTAACCCCGTGCCTGATGTTCACCTTGTGCATCTCTATAAAGCCAGCTTTGGGGAGAGAGGTTCGCCTAGAAAGAACAGATTTGTTCACTGTGCGACTGTAGTTCTCATTACTAAGCACGAGGTGGCATCCAGATCTTGAAACATGTTCTGTCCTTATGAGCTTTCTCTCAATAGCTGCCCTTGCTCCTCAGTGGTCAAGGTCCCTCTGTCACACTAATGAATGGTGCTGGCTGGAAGTCAACCCACCTGCCACAGGAACAATGGCCTTGCAGTATACCTATTATTCAACCCCAGCAGGAAAAGTCACACTGTTCTTTCCTTATACAAACCACACTTACAACAAATTCAGGATAATCTTCGATATATTCCTCCCAATAGAAAAATACTGAGCTCTTTCATCACGGTGATGGGAGGCAACCAAGCCAGGAGGAAACCAGCAAGCCACTTGCTTTACAGCTCAGTGTAGAGCAGGTACCCCACTCAACACCCTGAGCAACAGACCATGTTTCTAGATACACTCAATTCACTTAGCATCAGTGCTTCTCCGTCCGGTAGGTAATACAGAACATCTATAAAAATGCAACTTCAGCACAGTGGCTCAGAAGCCTAACACAGTAGGATCACAAGTTCAAGACCAGCCCGGGAATAATAACAAGACCTTGTCTCAATATATAATAAAAAGAAAGGGCTAGGGATATAGTTCAGTGGCAGTGTCCTTCCCTAGCATGCACTGTCCATGGGTTTAATTCCCAGTGGTGGAAAAGAAAAGAAAAAAAGTGACCTCAGTCTAATTCCTGCATCTCAGTCTCTGAGAGGTCCCTCTCAAGACAAGCGTGGGTTCTGCGATGTGCTAGAAATGGCTTATGTTGTACTGGGAGAATGCAAGGGGTTTTGTGCTACTTGCAGAGCTGGGGTTTTTCGGGAGGGGGTAATTTTTATCTTGAAATATTTTCCATCTCATAGAAAGTTGTACAAGTAGTACAAAGAACTCTCAAGTTCCCTTCACCAAGATTCCCCAGTTGTTGGCACTTTAGCACATTTATCAGTTTCTCTTTCTATATAAAAATATAACTTTTTTTCCTGAACCAAGGAAGAATAAGCTGCCGATATTATGTCCCTTTGCTTCTAAATATTCAATGTGTGTTTGCAAAGAGCAAGAACATCCTTTAGAAAGCACAATAACTATTATGAAGGTCAGAACATTAACACCAATAAAATAGCTGAATCTACAAGCTCTGTTTCAAGGTTATAACCATCTCAGTAATGTCCCTACAGCAAAAACCAAAACAAAACAAAGAAAACCTGGGCCTCACATCCTAATTAGGATCGTGTTCCACATTTACCTGCTCTCAACCTAAATTAAGAGTGACATTTCATCCTGGCCACACTGCCAGTTCACTGAGAACTTTCATTTGCTGAATCTCTGCAGCACATGAACCACAGAATCCTGTCTGGCCAGGCAATTTCTGTAGCATGTGGCAACTCAATCCACAGGCTACAGAAAGACAACAGAGATGTCAGGTAAGTTTCCTGTCCTGAGGGCTGACAGTGTCACACCAGCCACCAGCTGATTTTCACTTAGCCACAACTGACCCCCAGCATCCTACTGAGATGTGAGGATCCAGAGAACAGAGAAAGGGCAGAGAGCATAGAGATGGCCGCAGGCAAGAGCAGGAAGGGAGAGCTTCTCCCAGCTGGCACCTCCCATCCCCTTACTTATTTTGCCTGAAAAAGCACATTCCAGAGCCCAGCAAGGCTCTACCAGTGAGAAACATGAAGCTAATCTGGAAGTGTTTCTCCTCTAGGCTGAAGTAACATAATCTTTTGCAACTGAGGGGGCATAATTATTCCATTTTATCTATTACTTAACGCTACAATTTGGCTCTTAATGTTCTCCAGAACAGCAGGGCATTGGGGTGCACACCTGTAATCCTGGCACTCAGGAGGATGAGGTAGAAGCATCACTGTGAGTTCAAGGCCAGTCAGGGCTACATAATGAGTTCAAGGATAACCCAAACTACATAGCAAGACCTGTCTCAAAAACCAAAATAAATAAATCAATAAAGTCCTCCAGAGGCCCTTGTGTTTAAAGCTTGGTTCCAAGCACAGTGCTACTGGGAAGTGGTGGAACTTTTAAGAGGTGGGACCCAGTGGGAGGTTTTAGGTCACTGTGGTACTGCTCTGAAGGGGACAGTGAGACCCCAGTCTTTTATTCTCTTTAGGGTTCTGGCCATGAAATGAATGGTACTCTTCTACCAAGTGCTCCTCCTGTGACATAACCACCTTACCACAGGCCAAAAAGAAACAGGACAAATAACTATGGACTGAAGCTGCCAAAACTATAAGAGAAAATACACTTCTCTTTTTAAATTGAAGATCTTGAGTATTTTGTTATAGTCACACAAAGCTAACTGGCACACTTAATAAAGGAAAATCTGAGAAGTATCATCCAAACTGCCCAGGCCTATTAAAACAACAGCTGCTCCCATAAGTGACTAAACCAAAAGCCAATGTGAAGATGTGCTTTCTGCTATGACCAGCACTGACCTACTCCAAAGTCCACTGTGGCATAGAGGCCTTGCAGGGTCCCGCACCGCAGATATTCTTGTCTCGGCCCATCAGTGGTGAACAGAAGTACATCATCACCCAGATGGTAATGGAAGTGCTTCTGTAGGAAACGCAGGTAGTTATAGTCACAGGCAAAGTAGGAGCCATATTCATTTTCAACCTGCAAATTTAAAAAGAGGAGGAAGAAATTAGTAGATGCCAGTGTAGTCTTTCTAGTGCAATCTTTGTGGTGGAAAAATATCTGAGAACCCACTTAGACAAAATGGCTTGATGACACACAACTAATTTTCCCAAGAGCAATTCAGCATAAAAGCTCACTTTGTACTAACCCTTCCTCTCCTACTTAGAGGAAAAAGAAAACAAATTCTGTGGAGGACCCCCAGGACCACTCTCCTTGAAAGAAGATCTTTTGTCTCCAGGCTAAACTTTGCCCTAATTCCTCATAATAAATTGGCTTTAAGCAATGCAAATGGGGTCTAGCAAAGGGGCTGATGTGTAGCATTTGAAGCATTGTAATAGATCAGTGATGCTCCATGTATAGCCTAACCCTAACTACTAAGGACTACTAAGTATGAGCTAGGTAGAGACACACCACACTGTTGGATAGGACTGAGGTTCAAGAAAGAACCCATGCTGGGGATTTAGCTCAGCAGCATAAGCACCTGGCCTTGGAAGCACGCAGTGGTGAGTTCAATCCCCAGTACTGATAAAAAAAAAAAAAAAAAAGAAAGAAAGAAAGAAAGAAAGAAAGAAAGAACCCATGACATCTCAGAGCAGAAAGGCCAGGCATCAAAGCTGAGGCACTGTCCCCAAAACACATGATACTTCCTCAAACTGTGTTATGCATATTCCTAAAAACTTAGAGGCTACCTGTTACCAGAATTCGGTACTCTTTCTACATACCTTTCTCTCTGTATGTTGCAGAGGTACCGTTGTGCCTCCGACCTAGCCCAGCTCACAGCACTCATGTACTTTCCACCACTCTCACAGTCATTCAACCTGAGCCACTCTCCTCTTCACGAATTAATAAAATCCAAGTTCGGCCCTGGGTTGGGGCCTTTGTTCCGTTATCCATTGTTCCTATTAGACTTAGGACTCCCTTAGCTCCCCACAACTGTAGATACATATGTTTCTCTTTATTCTCACTGTGGGTTGCACTGGAGTAATAGACTGAAATTTACTTATTGGAATTCCAGTAATTTATCCCTGAGATTACAAACATAAACTCCAGACCGCAGTGCGGCTGGAGCCTAGCTCTCTAGATAAATTCTAAATTGGTTTTGGGACTTTAGTGATAATCTCTCCTATACTATCTCCTATAATAGATACTTTAAATATTTCATAGGTAATACCTTCCCATAGTAGAAATGTTAGAAAATAAGAGAAAAATGAAAAGACAAGGCAAAAATCATCTGCTAAACCCACCGTTCACAGATAATCACTGTAACGACTTCTGTAGATAGCCTCCCAGATTTATACAAACTACAGGGTCTTTCCTCAAAAATTGTATTATTTGTACCAGTTATAACTGCTTTCTTCCCCTTAATACATTACACAGACTCTCCAAGGCAGTAAAAAGGGTGGGTGCTGGACATGGATGAACCATTGTTAACTGATTATCTGCTATCAAACATCAGGGCAGTCCTGGCTTTGTGCTCCCTTAGCAACACTTGGTTTGTGCTCAACAACATCAGTGCTTCTAAACCAACTTCTCTTCTGCCCTCCCCCAGGAGACACCAGTGGAAACATTTTGGATTGTCACCACTAGAGCGGAGGTGGCTAATGGTATCTTATGGGTAAGGACCATAGACGCTGTTGAATATCTTACAGTGCACAGAATAGTTCTACAACAATGAGTTACTGGGTATAAAATGGCAATAGTGCTGAAGCACACATTCTCCTGCAAGAGGGACAGCATCTCCAGGCAATGGAAACCAATTCCTTTTTTTGTTTGTTTTCTTGAGACAGGATCTCACTTTGTAGTGCAGGCTGGCCTTGGACTCGCTAGGTAGCCCAGGCTGGCCTCAAACTTGCAATGATGCTCCTGCTTGTCTCCCAAGTGCTGGGATTACAGGCATGTGCCACCATGCCCAACTGAAAACTATATTCTTATAGGATTAAAAAAAATATTCTCTTCATATACAAAGCACATATATAGGCCAGGCATGGTAGCCCTGAGTTCAAGGCTAGCTTGGGCTACATACTGAGTTACAGAGAGATAGATAGGTTTGTAATATACAAAGTATTAAAATTTTATAGTTGGGGAAGGACAGGCTATAAGACAAAAAGGTTTTGGCCACTGTGTTCTCTCTTGCCAGGCAGCCCACCTTCACGCTGTAGGGTATTCTTCTTTTCCTATATTTACTTAGCCCAAACTTGCTCTGTTAAGCCTATTTCTTTTCCTGCCTTTAACAACAACAACAACAACAACAACAACAACAAAAAGTTGAAAAGTGTACCATAGGGAAAAGAAAAAAAAAAAAGGAGATGGAAGTGGAGGAAGAGGAGGAAAGCAGAAGGAGAAGGAGAAGAAGAAGACGACGATGAAGAAGATGAAGAAGAAGAAAAAGAAGAAATAATATGGGCCTCAAGCAACAAAATGAAATTTAGCTCTATCCAAAACACCAAAGAATCTTAGAAAAAAAAGGCTGAATGAAAAAAGTACAACACTAAAAACTAGACATGATATAATCTGCTACAGAAAATTCCAAAGTGGTCAAATTATGAAGTCTGAGTACACACAGACACGGTAAAACATTAAAGCAAAGCAAGATGCTGTGGTCACCAGAGCAGTGAGTGGGGGACGGCATGAGTGGAAAGGGCCCAGGGAAGCCGCAGTGTGTGCTGGCCGGGGCTGCTTCCCGTCCTGGGAAGTGGCATACAGGTGTTCAGCATAATGGCTCATCTTACCATGTGTGTACATGGCCAGCATGCACATGCTCATCACCTCTCACAATTTCACAGAAGTTTTAAAAAGTATCCAATCATAAATTTCAAACTGTAAAAATTATAAATTTTGTGATCCTGGAAAAACATGTCTGCAGACATATGCATGAGAAAGTGTGAGCCCCTAGGAAAGAGGTGCTAGACTGAGGAGAGTCCAGAAAGTTCCCCCTCCTGGTCATCCTGGAAGGAAAGCACTTAGCTGGGGTAGAGGAAAGGGTAGGGAGAATCAAAGCTTAAATTGGCCCAAGTGAGTCCGGAAATGAACAGTAACAAAATGAACTAAATGCCATGGTTATAATCTGGATTTGAAATGCTCCCTGAGAGTCCATGTGTTAAAAGCCAGGGACAGGCTATGACACTACTGGAAGGTAGGCTTAGGGTTATGATCTCAAAGGAGATGCCATGGCTCCCAGCGTCTTCCTCTCTCTTCTAGCCATCAAGAGGCAAGCAGTCTCCTCCACTACGTGTTCCCACCACAATGCACTGTGCTACCAACGGGCCCACGGTGGCTGACACTTCTACAACTGTAAACTTTAAGTCTTTCCTCCTTATGAGTTGACTTTCACAGACATTATTTCACAATGACAGAAAATTGGCTACACAGCCATTATCATCTGCCCAGTCCTGCTCCCCAAGGGCTTTATCAATGGCCATTTTCTCAGAGCACTCCAGAAATTCTTTCATATTATATGTACAAGAAGCAGACAGACTGTAGCACCCAAACACGCCCCAGTGCCATGTTTTTTGCTAGCCATGAAGCTAACCTGAAAGAGAATCTATTTGCTGCTCATAGAGAGTAGAAAAGCCCTTGGTTGATTTTGCTAAGTCTTTTTTTTTTTTTAATTTTTTATTTAAGGAGAAAAGAGAAAAAAAAAAAAGTGAAGGGGTACAAGTTATACAGATTTACAGAAGAAAAAAATGCGCAGTAGGAAATCACTAGTTAATGGATTACATATTGCCATCTTAGAAATAATTGTTCAAGTCACAAAATTAAAGCTTGTAGAGTGGACATTCCAACAATGATACTGCAAACAGTTCTGTTCAATGATCCAATAAAACTCTGTGATATCATTTTCTATCTTATACACTTAAATATACATGCAGTTATATAGTTTAGAGCACTTTCTTTTCCTCTCTTTTGTACAATGACTATTACACATTTTGGGTTTCATTGCTCCCACGGTTCTTATTGCTCTTTTGGAAGAGAGTAAAATCAAATGTGACATATCAGAACAGAATCGGTCAAGTCAAAAGGGTGGACAGAATAGATAATATAAAAACATAATACAAGGTGATCAACAATGGTTACCATAATGCCTCCCGCTATCTAATAGAATTGCCTATATCATTTGTTGTAATACAATTGAACAAAACAGTAAAGAACAAAACCGACAAAACCAAAACATTGGAGACATTGTAGGTCTTCAAAAGTACATAAAAGTCAATGAGAATAGGCGTTATAATGAATCTCATTATCTTCTCAGCTGATGCCTAAACTTTCGAACCTGATACTATTCAGCAAAACAGAATAGAGGAACCTCAGTCAAAAACAAGATGGTGAGAGTAATACAGGGCTTCAAATCGAGATAATAGAAAGTCAAAGTGGGTTACTATATTATATCCTGCTATTTTTTTCCATTTAATTAAACGGATAAAAATAAAAAAGTAAATAATGGAGTGGAGATTGAGAAAAAAGAGGGCACAACAGCGAAACAGGGCAGATCAATACATAACCATTTAAGCAGAATAGTGTTTCACCACCAGATAATTCCGACCCAAAAGTGTTACCACATAGACTCTTTCCTTGAAGTCCTTGAGTACAACTTCGTATACTGTAGCATTAAGTATATCAAAACAATGTAAAACCATTTAAGAGAATGACAGCATTATAGAGTATTTAGAATCGACTAACAGAAAATGAACAATGGTTTCTGTATATTCTCCTTGTCTTTAAAAGGTTTTTGATTATACTATCGTACATAATAAAATCCAATAAGATACAATCTGTTTAGACCATTGGAGACAGAAGAACAAAAGCTAGATGAGACTTCAAAACAAGATGGTACTAAATCAGTATTACCTATTAAGATGTCATTTTCTCCAAAATAGCTGTTCCTACCATCCAATCTTCTCTGTCTCGTTTCTGTTGAGCTCTTTTTCTGTCAGTAGCTGTCAGTTTGTCTTCTTCATTTTGTTCTCTGCTCCATTCGTTGT